CAGCCGATAGTCAATTTCAGCAGTGGCTGAATGGGGACAGGTGGGGTGCTGCCGGGTTGGTCCTGCAGCCCTGAGGGGCAGCACTATGGGACCTATCTGGCAGGCAGTGCCCCAGCTGCTCTGCCCCCGGCTCCCCCGATTCAGCCGCTGGTCAGTTTTAGCAGCGGCTGAATCCGGGAAGCTGGGGGTAAAGCAGCTCCAATGGTCCAGCTGCCCTGAGCACTTCCGGGTTCCTGATGGTGCCGGACCATCAGGAGTGCCAGACCATCAGATGTCGGACCATCGGAGTTTTACTGTAGTAGATCTTTTAGTAATTGCTTCTGCATTGCTTTGCGCTGTATTAATTGCTTTAGAATTTATAGTATTTAAGGTTTTAATTGTACAGTAAGGCTTGAAAACTTAAACAATTGTATTAACTGCTTAAAGCTTGCAATAAATAAGAAAGTGGTTAAGTAGCTCTGAAGGGTACTGGTTTCCTTTGGATCTAAAATAAATCAAATCACATGACAGGACCATGCTTTCAGAAATCTTATTAGACAAAACCTCAATGTAAAAACACAGAATCCAAAGCACCAAAAAAAAAAAATCATCCTACTGTTGGTGGCATATGACTCAGTTGAGGAAAATGAATATGCATCCGTCTGCACTGCTTTTGAAGAAAACCCATCAGCATACAAGCATGTCCACTGGAATGATGGTTGACACATGAAGGGACATGTGACTTTTTAGTGCACATGACATGCAAATATCTTGCAATGCTGGCTAGAACAGTGCTATGTGAATGCCTGTTCTCACTTTCAGGTGGCATTATAAATAAGAAGCAGACAGCATTTTCTCCTGCAAAGATAAACAAACTTGTTTGTTTGAATGACTGGCTATCTAAAAAGTAGGACTGAGTGGTAGGGATGTCAATGTGTAGTTGACTACATGATTAACCGATAAGCTTGGCTTATCAATTAATCCTGTCAGCTACACGCACTCCCCCTCTTGCCACCTCTGTATTAGAGGCAGAAAGGGGAGGGAGGGGAGGCAGAAGCCATTGCCCATAAGAAGCCAACTTTTAATAGGGATGGCAACATGTAGTTGACTAAATGATTAAACAATAAGCCTGGGCTTATTCATTAAAACTATTGACTACGTGTACTTCCCCCCGCCCTTTGCTGCCTCTAATTCAGAGTGCACTGGGTGCTAGCCTCACCCCTGGGGACTATCGAATAGTCCTGCAACTGCTAAAATTTCAGGCAGTTACATGATTATTCAATTACATGGTAACTAACATCCCTACAGAGTGGAACTGTAAGTTTTATATTGTTTTATTTTTGAATGCAGTTATTCTTGTACGTAGTTATACATTTGTAAGTTTAACTTTCATTGTAAAGAGATAGCACTACAGTACTTGTATTAAGTGAACTGAAAAATAATATTTATTTTATTTTGACAGTCCAAATATTTGTAATAAAAATAAATATAAAGCAAGCATCTTACACTTTGTATTCTGTGTTGTAATTGATAACATCTGAAAATGTGAAGTAAAAAATTATTTATATAAATGGCTTTCTATTATTATTTAAAAGTGTGATTAATTGCACAATTAATCAAAGCTATTTAATCGCACAATTAATTATGATTTATAACTTGACAGCTCTATGTATATTACTTTTAATGTAAACCAACATAGTGTTATGATTGAAACGAGTGTTTGGTAAGTCTCAATTAAATTAACGAGTTGCAGTGTGTTGTCTCTTTAAAGGAGCAACAAGCTTATTGACTTCTGTGTATGTTACAGGACACGGATGGACACTATAAAGAGGCAGTTTTGGAAAAATTCACAATTGGGAGGTATTGGTGTCCGGCTGATTAAGAGCTTATATGTTGGCTCTAAGCTGTCAGCCATGGCAGCATATCATTCATTACAGGTGCAGGGCAGGTGGTAACAGCCCCTTAAACTAGCCTCCAGTATGTGGAGCCACTATACTGACTGTGTAATAGATTTTTTTTAAGCTAGCCATACATGTATTTAATTTTAAACTGTCTCATAGTAACAACTAAGGGATGTGGGAAAGACTAATGTCATCTAAACCTTTCCTTTTAATAAATCCTTAGCCATGCCACTCACAGATTCTAGGAACAGCTACTCTACTAGGATGATGTGCTCAGCCTTCTCCTATTTCTGTTTCTCAGAAGAAAGGTATTATGGGAAAAGCAACTTGGTGTATATTTTCTATAAGATTTGATAATTCTTTATAGTCTGACAGCACACAACCTTAAAATCTTTCAAATTGAAAATTATATAAAATTTACTTGGGTTCCTTTTATGCATTATTTTATTATGTAAAAAATAAAGACTATGGCAAGCTTATTCTAAATTCACTAGGCATAAGCAGATGACAGTTTGTAAGACTTGAAAACATTTAAACTGTGTTTCAACCCGACACTCAAAATGTTAAACATACCTTGGGTAATCTTCTGAGGTTATGTAAACTACATCTTGATCTGACACAGATGAGGAAAATGGAATAAAATTTCCATTTTGTAATGGCAGAAGTTCCAATCCAATAAGTTCACTGTAGACTCCATCAGTAAGCACAAATTCCAAGAGATGAAGCTTTTCTTCAGGAGGGCCAGAATGTCCAGATTTCCTCAACACCTGCCGTACTACAGCAGGAGTCACCTTTTTCACAGTTTTACAGCTAGATTCAGAAAGATTAACTGCACTAGCAATGTTTGCAGGTACGTTAGCAATCTGGTTCCCTGAGCTTTGGAGGTAGTTAAGGACAGTTTGTGTGTACTCCAAGCTGTCATCCATTTCTGAGAAGCATACTTGCTCCACCTTTATCCAGTCATTGCTAGCAGAGTAAATAACTGCATTCTGTAGCAACTCTTTAAACAGAGGTTCTATGATTGGTTTCCAGTGTACCCTAATTTTATCCTTTTCAGGCCATAGTCTATAAATTCTCTCAGATGACAAAGGAAAATCTGAGTTCTTCTCAGTCTCCATTCTCTTGATAGCTTCCAAAATGAGAGTGGCATATGCTTTCGGGACGACATTCACCACAAGGAGGTCATTCCATAAAGCTGCTGGATCTCGCCACTGATCTAATTCTCGCCATTTGATACTCCTTCTATTGTCAGTCAGGCCAAAGAACCCACTAACATGAACGGGGAGACCAGTCTTACTTTCCTCACCAGGAGGTAAAGGAAGAAAACAAAATGCTTTTCCTGAAAATTCTGCTACAGCTCCTTTTTCTTCCCCATTACTTGATAAAGACATGGCTATTCCAATAGTAGGGACAAACTTCAAGTCATCAGCCAAACAATCTAGTTCATTGCATATCCCTCGACCTCCCACACTGTTACATACTAACCAAGATGTTTTTTGTGCATCCTTCACACTTTCATCTTCTAAGATTATATTTACATGGTATGTGACACATGTTATGCTGTTGCTTGGAACCCCTTTGCAATACTGACTTATTGCAGTTCCTAGAATCTTGATGGAATTGGGTCGTTCATGTTTCAAGGCCTTGTTCTCACTAGCAGTTACTCTAAAGACCAGTCTCTCAATTCCATCAGCCTCTCTAACATGTAAGGAAACATCTTGCACACTTTTCAGAAACAGCAGGACTGTATCTGCATCTGCTCGAAAGGATTCAAAAAGCTCCAGAACTTTTTGTTTATTGTACAGATTGCTACTCAATTGGGAAGGCTGCAGGCGAAGAGGGAAACGAAAAAATGTACCAGGAAAGTTTCCATTCTTGAAGGTTTCTTTAGTGCTACCAAATACACCAATGAATGGTGCAAACTGGTCTGTAAGTTCACTAACTTCTTTGCTGTCATCCTTTAGATTCCAACACTGGCCTGATTCATGGGGTCCAAAAAGTGTTTGATGGGGATCCAACATTCCAATCTGGTCACCACTGAAGATACTAGGGACATCTGCACAAGTGAAATCCAACAATATGAATAACCCTAAACAGCAAATATGAATGACGCTAAAATATCCTACTTTATCCACAAATTAAACAGCTTCAACCATTACAATCAATTATATTCTACTTTTAAAATTATAAATTGCCCTTATTTATCAAAAACCCAATCTTACTAATGGACAACTGTTCATACTCTAAAAGAGAAATTATTATATAAAATATCTTATGATTAAGATTATGATTTTTTCACAGAGGTCACGGAAGTAACAGAATCTGTGATTTCCAGTGACCTCCGTGACTTCAGCCCATAGCAGCCTGAAAGTGTAGAGTACCCCCATGACCTGTGGTGGCCAGGAACTGTGGGATACCCCCACCAGAGTACAAGTGGGGATACTCTTTAGTTCCTGGTGGCCGCAGGCAACAGGGAAACTCTTGAGCTCCCAGCTGTTGAAGGAGGTAGGGGGATCCTAAAGCTCTGAACCACTCCGAGTGGAGGTGGACCATAGAAATCCCCATTTTGTCATGAATGTTTTCAGTAAAAGTCACTAGCCTCTGTGAATTTCTTTTTATTGCCTGTGACCAGTCTGTGACTTTTACTAAAAATATCCATGACAAAAACTTAGACTTACATATGATGTACAGAATAACTTTATCAAAGGGATAAGAAATAAATGACATTGTGAACAACTTTATTTGATCAAACATTTGACATACTAGCCTCTGAAACAAAATATTTTCTCGATATTGAACACTAGTTTTTTATACTTGCCTTTTTTTCCCATGCCATCTTCTTGAATTACAATAATCCAGTATTGTACGGATACATGCTCCAACAGAATGAATAACTATGAATTTTCCATGAGGCATAACCACAACAGAATAACAATAAATCTATTAAACTTTTAGGGAGTGCAAGTGAAAAAAATGTACAAAATGTAAAAAATTTAGAAGAGATTTCTTCTACACAGAATTTACTAATTTAATGTATATACTAGGGCTGTCAAGTGATTAAAAAATTTAATTGTGATTAATCGCGTGAGCCTCCCTGTTGAAACGCTGCAGCGGCGTTTCAACAGGGCAGCAACGCAGCACCATTTCTAAGGGGCAGTGCATTAGAAGCCTGGGATCAGCTGGGGACTCCAGCTGATCCCCAGCTTCACGTTGCAAAGCCCCTTTGAAGTGTCGCTCTGGCACTTCAAAGGGACTTTGCAAAAGCGGAGCTGGGGATCAGCTGGAGTCCCCAGCTGATCCCTGAGTCCACTTGAGCTGCCCCTTTGAAGTGCAGGAGTGGCACTTCAAAGGGGCAGTGCAGCATTAACACTTGTGATTAACATGTTAAAAAATTAAAGCGTTAATCGTGTCCTGCATTAATCGCAAGCGTTGACGCAGGTCAATTGACAGCCCTAGTACATATATGAATGGAAGAAAGAACTACCAAATTAAATGGTAAAACAATCCTACAGAATTTAGGAAGCACTCTGCAGTAATAAAAGAGCCAAATGGGTGGGAGAGGGGCAAGGAAAGATGCCCACAATTAAGTGCAACTAGTTTTTGGAAAAACATATTAGGACTTACGTTAGTTTCTTTTCCCTTTATAGAATCAATGTGAACATCCTCCAGTTAAATTGCAAATTGCATGTGACTGAGAAAAGTACTTTTTTGGTATGAGACAAAATTAGCATTGTTTATTGGTCTGAATTTCACATTTCCCTTAAATACATATAGTACAAAAATTAAATGGCACAAAGCTTCAGTCTTTGGTTTTTGTATCTTATTTAAATGTATGAAAGTCTGTTTGGCATCCATCTTTATGCTCTGGGTATAAAATAAAATGTATAATTCAAATAACAATACAACATGTAGGCTACGTCTACACTGCAGGCTTCTTGAGCAAGAACTGTTTTGCGCAAGAGTTCTTGCGCAAAAGGTCTTGCTCAAGAGCACGTCCACACTGCCATGTGCTTTTGTGCAAGAGATGTGCTTTTGCGCAACAGCATCCATGGCAGTGTGGACGCTCTCTTGTGCAAGAAAGCTCTGATGCATTTTAGCTTTAGAGGTTTCTTGCGCAAGAAAGCCCTCTTGCCTGTCTACGCTGTCTTCTTGCTTAAGAGCTCTTGAGAAAGAGGACTTATTCCTCATGGGTAGAGGAATAACTCCTGCACAAGAAGCCCTCTCTTCTGATGCTTAACTGTAAATTTACTTGTGCAAGAACACGCATGCTGTGCAGACGCTCCACACGTTTTTGTGCAAGATCAGCTGTTCTTGCGCAAAAAGCCTGCAGTGTATTCATAAGCCATAGTGTTGCTCACCCCTTAGGCCTTGACATCACCAGCAAAATATAGCATCAATAAAACTCTCCTATTCTCAACCTACACTCCCTCTAACCAGCTGACAAAAAATACGGGCTTTATTGCTCAGAAGATTAAAAAAATATGGGCTGTGATAGACCATGAGTGGATTAAGTAAATTCCAATATCAAAAGTCTCACTCACAGAACACCCTTCATGTCTAAGATTAATTTAATCTCATATATATTTCAAAGTTAATATTTTTATTTTTAAAAATTACACATAGTACCTGTTATATGATAGACTGAATTGAACCCAATTCCAAATCTTCCAACTTTTAGGGGATCATCCTTTTTTTTGCTTCTTGCTATTTCCTGTATGCCGTGCCAGTCTTCCAGGGTAAAAATTGCATTGTTGTACGCATAAAGTGCTGACCCTGAAAAATAAATAGGCACACATTAGGCAATTCAAAAAGAACACATTTGGGCCACTCATTTAATCTCCAGAAAATAAACTTACTAAATCAAGAAAACATTTTTGAATTGTAACTATGGATTTGCAAATGTAATGAGGAAGTTGTAACTCAAACTGGCACTAGAGAAATTAAACTAAAACTTGTTGAAAAAGTCCAAAGAGATAAGGAGGAATTTCTGCAAAATAAAAAATCCCTAACTACATATTTTCTTCTCTTCCTCTTCAGAAATGCAAGTCCATCCACTGATTTGTTGGATCATTTCCATGAACATTTTAACACACACCATATAATTTTGGTTCACAAACCGCCATTTTCTGTCATACAAGATAAATGCAGGTCATGTTGAGAAAGAGCTTCAGAAACTTCAGGAAAGCAGTGACCATGAGGATCTTACAAGAATCTTTTCATAACAATGAATTTTCTGAGCCTAGATTATAAAAATAACTGTGTAGCCCCAACCACCTTAGTTCCTTCAATAATTCTCAGAATCCTGTGGTAAATATGACAAGGACAATCATATAAAATGATCTTGATAACTTTATGAATCCATGTGAACAAAATATATTTTAATATAACCTAGTACTGTACAAGGAAATACAACTGGAACAAAGAATGTAGACCATATGCACAGAATAGGGGACTGTATACTGGAAAGCAGACACACTGAAAAGGCTTCAGTGGTCAAAGTGGACAAACAATATGAGATCCCCGTATAATACTATGGCAAAAAGAGCTAATGCAATTCTTCGATCTACAAAAGGGAAGTAGTGACCAAGAGCAGGGAGGCAAATTTACTTCTGTATTTGGCACTGAAGTAGGGATGTCTGGGTATGTCTACACTACAAAGTTAATTCGAACTAACAGACGTTAGTTCGAATTAACTTTCATAGGCGCTACACAGGCAAACCGCTAGTTCGAACTTAATTCGAACTAGCGGAGCGCTTAATTCGAACTAGGTAAACCTCATTCTACGAGGACTAACGCCTAGTTCGAATTAAGTAGTTCGAATTAAGGGCTGTGTAGCCACTTAATTCGAATTAGTGGGAGGCTAGCCCTCCTCAGCTTTCCCTGGTGGCCACTCTGGGCACCACCAGGGAAACTCGTCTGCCCTCCTCCCGGCCCCGGAGCCCTTAAAGGGGCACGGTCTGGCTACGGTGCCCGTGCCAGGTGCAAGCCTGCCAGCACCCAGCCAG